AAAGTAGAAAATCAACATTTCCCAGAAAGCTGGAAATTCGTCGAGGAATTTCTATAAACTAGAAAATCCCCGGCGATTTTTCGGTTGATTTTCTATAAACTAGAAATTAATTCAAGATTACAGTGTATGGATAAAAATCGAGATATCTATTCAGTATTTAGCCAATAAATCTATGAAGGCAAACTTTTAAAATAAAATATTGTAGTTCATTTTGAAGCCCAGAAAATTCTCTATCTTCGATATATAAAACATTCTGGGTCTGAGTAGATGAGTTCAAGAAATATTCCTTTAAAGCACTAAGATAGGTGAAAATCATTATACCGACCAAGTATTTCGACTATTGATCCATCTGGACGTATTTTTGAAAGACTTATTTATAGCTCATTTTGAAGCCGGGGGAATTCTCTATCTTTCTATGTATAAAACGTTCCGGGTCTGAGTAGAAGCATCAAAGAAGTATTCTTTTAAAGTATTAGGGTGGATGAAAATCATGATATCTGTCTAGTATTTTGACAATTGTTCTATGTGCGCATATGTTTGAGAAGCTTGTCAATAGCTCGTTTTGAAGCGCAGAAAAGTCTCTATCTTTCTATGTATGGGCTTTGATCAAAGTCTTTGACATTGTACGAAAAGTTTGAGAAACAAAGTGAATGACATTCCTTGAACTGGTAAGAAACAATTTGTTCATAGAAATAAGGAGCAATTTCTGAAAATCAGAAGTATCTGAAAGTAAAATAGGAAGCATTTGCGATCATTTTCACTCAAAATCATATTGGATCATTTTCCAGCAGAAACCGATACGCGTCCTGTTAGCAAAAATCTGAAACTTAAAATTTGATTGTATTAAGAAGAGAAGAAATTCCAATGAAATAATGCAGCTAATCTTTTGTCATCACTCTATGCATATACGGTTATACGGCTACACTACTACGCGGTTGTACAATAATATAATATAGATCCTCTGAAAAGTTATTTTTCAGCGTTTGTGATAGAAGTGATAGATTCAGCAGGGAATAGAATAATTGGACATTTTTACATCTACAAACACTTGTGACTTTTTTCTACCAGGCAAGTAATGAGTAGGGCAGGGATATCAGATCTAAAATATGAAAATCAGAAAAAGCTCAACAAAAAAGAAATCTAAAATCAGAATATCTTAGAAGAAAAAAGAGCAGAAACGAGCCAGAAAAAATCCGCAAAATCAGATGATCTGGGACCCCTGGAGTAGATCTGTCTTACAAGCGAAACAAAGAACAAGCGAAACATAATCACATGTAGTTTATTCTTCTAGTATTTTCTCAGCTGTTCATTTAACAGTAAATAAAACAGACACATATATTTTTTAAAGAAACCGGCAAGAACCAAAAAAGAGCGAATATGAAGAAAAACTGCTTGCTACACCGTCTGTGGTATTTTAAGCAACATGACCGTTGTATTTTTCTGATGAGCGAATTTGTTTTAACAGTTCTTGATTATTTAAGAGATAATTATAAAATTCTGTACAATCGAAGCAGGAAAACAATTGAAAATCAGGAGAGATCAGGAGAAAATCTTAAAAATCAGCTCCTGAAATTAAGAGAACTTTCATCAGGAGAAAAGTCTAAAAATCAGGGGTCTCCTGATTTGATCAGGAGATATGACCATCCTGGTTCCTCATTTCTGGAAGTTGTTTTGTTCAACCGCCTCTATTCTTCAAAATCCAATAAATAAAAACAACGCGAAAATCTTTTCAAATTGCTTATGATGAATTTTTTTCTGGAAACGTGTCCTTTCTACCCAAAAGGTCCTGAAATTAGGAGAAATTTCATCAAGAGAAAAGTCTAAAAATTTGAATTAGGTATGGTATATTAGCCAGCAAGTAGCGACATCTATAGCACTATCCTATTAAAGTATTATTTGAAAATGTTTGATACATTATTCGATGGTACAGAATTTTCTTTGTATAGATTTAAGCAGATAATGAACAAAACTTTGAAGATCAGCCATAATTTAGCAAATCGAATTTTGATGACTCACGCGAAAGGGATAGTATTTTTCGGTTTGAGATATGACGCGCCAAGAACGGTTGTTAAGATCGTTGCAATCGACGTAAAAAGTTGGAAAAAAACAAAGTTATATCGATTATAGAGCGTTGTTCTTAACTTTTGCTTCTGAGGTGTATCTGCTCGTATTTCATGAAAGAATGTTGAAACCATGTTCCTTTATATTTTAAGACGACAAGAGAAAATATCGGATTGTATCTACTTTTTTTCGCTTCAACTACTATGTGAAACTCATCGGTGGCGGATCCAGAATTATTCTCTGATACCTGTGGTGCGGTCATTATAGAAACAAATTATTCTAAGAGAGTTCTGCTGAGAAAAAACAGTTTTTTGATTAAAAGATACGAGCGGCCGCTCGTACCGCTCGTGGACTGTATCCACTACCGGAACTCATGCCACAAATTTAACTATTAGACATGATCACAGATGATGTGAACGGAGTAGAAAGCGACACCTCAATCGCTTCTACCTATATTCATCACTGTTAAAAGTATATCATCCATATTTTCTTTTTCTCTATAGAAGAATGTGTTTGTATAGTATAGAACAGAAGTCTAACTTCATGACCACGCTGAGATAAGCTTTTCATAATAATGTACAACATTCATCAAATTGATGATAGATAACTGCTAAGCATAGAAATACGACTTCATTTATTATCCCAAACTGTGTTCATTGGGCTTTCTAACTGTGTAATGTATTTGAGAAAGAGTTTCAGTAAAAACTTTTTGTTGATAAAAATGAATTCGTAGTAAAATTGTGTATACGTTCGTTTAATTAACGTCTTCATCGTCGAATGTTTGGAGTTTAATTTTGTTTGATTTTGACTTATCTATGTGGTTTGTTTATCTGTACAACGTTACGCAGTACTCTCACAAAGGAATCTTTATGATTTTACTTTTTTTTGTTCGATTCCTGTCTTTTTATGCACAGTGATAGTATTCTTTCAGTGTTTTAAATGTGCTGATACATACCACATATTTACTTTTTAGTATAGATAAAAAAAGTGAATTATTTATTCGGCACCAGGAAATATATACTTCATTCATTGCATCATCGTCAAATTTAATTAAAGATTTGATGAATATACTGTATAAACGAGTATAGAATGTTAATTATAATTTTTCTCATTGTGGATTCAAAATTTACACCAATTAAAATATGAAATATAGTCGTTACAACTATTTGTGTTTTGTCTGTTTGTTTAACCGCAATTAGATAACATAACTGATAGTCTGTTTAAAATATTACTTATACTTTCTTCCAATTTGTATGTTTTGAGTCGTACTTTCTGTTTAATTGTGTTCGTTTGAATTAACTATTTTCATGTAGAAATTTGACTTTTAGTTTTCTTTACGGAACAGCTCATATTTTTTTATTATTCTTTGACATTGATAATTATACTCAAGAAAAAATTTAGATTGTTGTCATAAACAGGGCTGTCGTGACAAGCGGGATGTCCTGCAGGCGACCCGCACCAATAATTGAAAATTTTCGTTTTCTCTCGGCGGCAAAAATTATTTTTCCTTACCAGCGACCCCACCCAAAGTTGGACTGGTCGTGACAGATCGATGTTCGCATGTGAGAAAAGAAAAAAACAAAGGACTCAGACGCACAACTCTTAGTGATTATGCGATTAACTCGTTTCTAGACTAATAAAAACGAAGCAATGAATTATTCAAACTTGGATAACGTACCACAACGATACCAACATCAGTCACAAGTAAGCTATGAGATTCTTTCTGAACAGTTGCTATAATTTTTTCCATTCTTATAACGTAGGGCCCAGTCTCTCAACCTCCAATGTATATGCCGTTTCCATCGATGTATATGCCATATAATTATCCACCGTATTATTATGGAAATATGAATTCGAATCCCTATATGAGTCAACCACATCAACAATATCAGTACTATCCTCCTCATCCTCAGCAGCCTTACCTTCCATTACCTCCACTTTCACAGCAACAACAACAACAATATCAGTCGCAATATGGACCACCGTACTTATTCCCGCCTCAAAGACCACCTTTACTTTATCAGACTCCTCCTCCTCCTCCGCCTCCACTATCATCACAGCAAAACGAATCACCACGAAATACTGATTTAAATATTCGAGAATGTGAGTCGCCAAAAAGTACGACAAGCACAATAGTACCATTGACAGTATTACCAAATCACAGTCATTCACAATCATCGGGAGTCGGTAATGGAATATGAAATGTTTTCTTTTTTTGAAAAATTTTAGCATGAATAAGAGCTAACTTTTTGTGCACACAGTTTCTAACTATTTCTCCTATAGTATTTTTTTAATGCACTAAATTTCAAAACAGCATCGTGGACATAAAAGAAGTTAATTATTATTTGTTTAGATCTTGAGGACAAATCAATGAAATTCATTCAGAAAACGCTAAACATTGCGTTTAATAATATGAGTAATAGTACTAGTAATATTGATGATTTGCTATCAACAGCATTAGAAAAGCTTGATATAAAGCACAATATGTCTACTAGGTAACGAGAAAGAAAAGACGAAAAGAGTTTAAAGTTTCTCTCAAATTTCTTTTCAGTTTGTCGTCAACAAAAACTGGGATTGTTCTCGCCAAAAATTCTCAATATTTAACAAATCGTTCGACACAAACAATTTCTCACGATAATAATGATTTATTGTTAGAATATGCTGCAAAATGTGTAAGTTTTAGAGATTTTTCCTGAGAAAAATTTTAAGACAGAATGAATTTATGTCTGTGAACAAGAAGTTTTAATTGATGATATCAGAATTAATCGAGCATTTTCAAATCGTTTTTAAACTGTATCAGTTAAATTGTTTGTATTTTTTCTCGTTTGTTCAGTGTAAAAGTGTTCAAAATTTATTAGAAAATTACACATGTTTATTAAAGGAAGGATTATCTATTACAGATTCATTAAAACGTTTGGCAGCAACTGGTGATGCTTTGTATCATACATCAACAATGCTAAATCATCTTATAAGAACGCGGGAAAATTTAAATATTATAGAGGAAAATTTCGGTACAGATATACCATTCAGCACGGAATTAATTAATGAATATCGCCTGAGAAAACAGAGTAAAACTCCAATTACAACAGCAACAATATTACCACATCTGGCTAAGACATCGGTGAACGTTATTAAATCTTCTTTGGTACCTACAATCTCACAAACACCTCAACAATCAATCACACATTCATCTCTTTCTTATGAATCAAGAGAGTCAGAGCTAAAACATATATCATTTTCACTTAGAGAAATTTATCCACCATCATCAAAATAAGTTAGATTAGTTTATTTCATTTTCTGATTATTTTCCGTGTGTTTTTCGTTATTATCAAATAGATTGGTAACATTTTTTTTTCTTTTGGAGCATTTATTTTCTCTTTATTATGTGTTTGTTTCAAAAGATGGAGAATAGTAGATCATCGCATTAAAAAAGTAACGGATATTTTTTAAAAATTAAAGTTTTAATCTTATTCATATCTACTCAAATTTGATTCTATTTTTTTTTCTATTATGTAGTAGGAAAGAAAATTTTTTTTCTGTATCAGAACGCTTTTCTTTTGAAAATATATTTAAATAACTATAATGGTATTTAGAAATAATTATCATCTAATTGATTTATAAAAGTGATAAAAATTGACTGAAAACAAACTTTGAGGTATTTTATCTCGAACAGTCTTTCATTATTCTTTCTACCGTTTTCTCGTTACTGTTTTCTCTTGTGGATCCGAATAAAATGATTTTTATCTCGTTTTGTCAGTCCAAGATATCTCTTCTGTCATTTTTCTTTTAGTTTAAAATACACATTCAAACTAACGAACGATCACGGATAAATCACTCTTATTTTCGTTTTTAGACAATTCTATTGTTAAACAAATTTATTAATCCTTGATCAACACGCTATTCTTTTATGCACAACGCACAAGTTGTAACTATGAAAATTTTGTCTAATGTGCAAATTTTTGAGTCCTAGTCAAGCCAATGATGTATATCCAAATAAATTTTCAAATATTCAATACAAATAAACTATAATGTTTTCCACACAGAGATAGAGATCTCTTGCCAGTTTTCGGTTGTAGAAAAGTGAGTGGTGGCGCGTGCTAGCATCTGACTTTGTTCCTGAAACTGTTCTTCAGCAGTACGGATCGACTTGTACATGTCCAAATTAGTGAAAATTCTCAAGTTTGTTGAATTTAAGAGATAATGAATCTCAACGAGCGTTCAAATTTTGATATGAATGTTTATGTGCGTAACTAGAATTTATATAACGTTCTGAAGTATCTTAAGCTCGACGCAGAACACGCACACACAAGAAATTTTAGTATATAAATAACTTTCACCATCCAATTTTAATTTAGTCTGAGAATCGATAGAAACATACATATGATAATTTGGAATTCATAGACAGAGAAGCATCGTAAAACCTAGTGAGTCTTAACATATTTTCTCACCCGAAGGTAGTATGAAATGATTTTTCGCAGGTTATCTCACGGTTATGTTAAAATGAGTCTATTTTACTGTTGCGGTGTTGACTGAAATATTCTTTTTACTTCAGATGATTTTGTATATGGCGTTCTCGATTAGAAGATTTTAAAAATGTCCAGATTTCAGAATTATTCAGTTTAACAAAGTGTCAATATATTTCGCTGGAATCGATTTTGTCGAGTCTTTAATTATGCGTATGAGTTATGAGTATATGATTTAGGCGAAGTGGAAACATTGTCATTCTTAAATAAATTTTTAATCGATTAAGAAAGCTGAATGTTCTTTCAGTGGGTGAGATAATGATCGACATGTAGACGACGAAGCGTCTTGAACTTAGTGAGGCTCAAACCTATCGTCCCTCGTGACTCTGGACCCATGTTGAAATTATAACGGCGAAGACTTTTACCATAAAATATGCAATAATATAAGCACAAGGTCTCTGATTCATCACTGTCAATTGGTTTTGGTACATTTGAACTATTTTATCCTTTAGTCGTAGCAGTAAAAGTACTGTAAGTCGCCGTACAACATTTGAAATTTTTAGAATCAGTCATATTTATTCTTTGGTGACGTTACTGCATCTTAACATTATTTTCTTACTTTTTGTCTATACAATACACACAGTAGAGAATGAACTGCCTTATTTTTTTATTGGGCACGACATTTGTTTTAAAAGTCGATAGAATTATCAATAAAGTGCTCGCGTTTTTATATGAATGATAACGAAATATTAATCTTTTATCTTGGAATATATTTTTCGATCGGAATTTTAATACCGAACCTTGGTTTATAATTAGACTTAACTTATTATTAACAAAAGTTTTAGAATTGCTGGGGGTCGTATTACCAAAAAAACTTAAGTTATCGACTTAAGCCATGGCTTAAGTCTGAGTTTAAGACTGAATTAAGTTCGGGAACTTAAATCGTATTACGAAAAGACTTAAGTTGGTGATTTGTTTACTTTTTGAAAGTCGTTGACTTCAGACAAAAACCCGCAGAATAACGAAATATTTATTCTCTAAACCTTAAAAAGTCGTTTTCATCGAATCGTATCGTTAAATGCCTGAACTATTCGAAAAATGCATCAATGACGTAAGTCTGACTTGAGTTTTCGATCTTAACTTTAAGACTACATTTCTCATGACTTAAGTCATCCAGTGAGTTGAGTTTTTTTGTAATACGGTAAAACTTAAATCCAAAGACTTAAGTCCCTGACTTAAGCCCAAACTTTGACTTAAGTTTTTATGTAATACGGACCCCTGGTGAATCTAAAGAGCCAGATGTTTTTCGATGTGCGATTTTTTTCTATTGTGATTTGTAAATTCATAGCTCTTGTTATACGATAAAAAATAATCTTTATAAACAAGACTTGGAGTGATTTTTTTCTTAGCAGGACTGGAAATAAGAAAAAAGTCTATTTAGACCGACGAGCAAAAGTTTATTTTGTATTATTGCTCTCTTACGAGAATAACACCAAAAATATAAAAGAAAATTAGATCTTTTTCTTGGACATATGAACTGATCTATGTTATATGTGTGTGTGTACACCGCACGTTACTTTTGTTTTTCTACTTTTTTATCTTCGAATTTTCATTAAATAGCAGACAACGTAACTAACTAGAGATTGTTTTTTTCCGGCTAACAAAATTTGATATGATGATATAAATGTTTTCCCTTTCATGTTTTCCTCTCATATTAAGAAATCATGTTTATTTGCTTTTATCTTTTCAGTAGTTTACTGGTTCAAAAAGGACTTGATGATCAGTAGATTTTCAAGTGAGTTTTTCTGGCGTGTCAAGATATCCCTGTTTTTATAATCTTCCTGTATAACTTTTATTTCCACTATTAAAAATTAAGTACCTTTTTGTCAGATTTTATTCAGTTGAAAAATGTGAACGCCCTTAACCGCGTTTTCAGATGTGACATTGCTGAATATCATAGAATCGCTGTAGTACGTCAAATCAAAAAACAGATTTTTCTCCAACCTAAGTTGATTGCTTCCATCTTTGAGAGTTATAGACGAATTACAGATTTTTTTATTGTATTATTTTTAGAATGAAACCAATTTTTGAATCTCGAGAACCTCGTGATCGTTCCGTTTTTCTCGGACATTTATGTTTGATAACAGATAATGTTTTAAAATCTTATTGTTCTCGATATGGTCCAATTCATGAACTTATCATCCATCGTGAAAAAGTTCAAAATAAATATCATTGTTTTGCATTTATTACATACAATTCTTTTGAAACTGTTAGTAATTTTATGTTGGATCGTCCACATTTTATACAAAATCAAGAAATAATGGTTAAACGTGCACTTTCTCGTTCTTATACAATACCCGAACGTCTTATTGTAACAACACGTTTAATGTTATATCATTTGGATCCTAATATACATGATAAACAAATATTGACTACTTATTTTGAAAAATATGGAGAAATAAAATCAATACAAGTACAAGGAGATCATGGACAAATTGAATATGATGATTCTGATGCTGTTGATGTTGTACTATTGAAACGACCACATTATATTAAGAAGAAGAAAATATTCACCACAAAGTATGATCAAAGTGAAGAAAATAATGATAGACAAAAATATAACAAAGAAGATGAACGACAACAAAAATCATTATCTTGTCGTTCTAACCATAAGGAAGGTAGTAGTTGAATAGGAAACAAACACACTATTAAATTAGCAAATAGCTAATAGTTTAGCAGATATTTTTGTCGTTGTTTACTATTCAGTGGTTAGGAAACACGAAAAAAAGTTGTACCCAATGCTGACGTTAACGATATTTATCAGTAACGACACAAAAAAAAGGACAATCTTTGTTTTCTACTATCTAATCAAACTTGATTTTAATTTTTTTTTTTTGTAGATAACTCATCAGATAGTGTTGAAAATCAACAGGAAGATGATGAAGATCAATCTTATCCATCTAGTCCATTACCGTTAATAGCATCAGCTGTTGTTGTAGTCAAAAAAGATAAAGATGAAGAAATTCGACAATTAAAACTTGATCTTGATCAATATAAAATTGAATATGAACATTTGCAAGATACAAATCGTGAATTATTATATGAATATGATGTATACAAAAAGCAGCGAGAATTAGAGTTGAATGAATTAAAACATAAACATTTGACTCAATTGGAAAGAATTAAATTTGAACATCAGCAAATATTAGTGCCAATACATCAAATGTTACAAGAATTTATGGTCTATAAACAAAAACATCATCAAGATATTATGGAATATGTTCAACAACAAATAACAGGTAATTAAATGATCATTTTTACTTTCTTGACGCAATTTATTCACATTTTTTTTCCTATAATGAATATACGGAGCGATTTATTTATCCAATTTTTCCTTGGTTTATTAATGTTATTTTATTTAATAGTGCTTTTCCGCGACATCTTTGTTATTTACACGTTCTTTTAGGATCAACGTCATTGCCCATAATATCTCAGACTGCCATTTTAAGTCAAACGGCTGATGATTTATTAGAACATCATTAATAAAATGATCAAAATACAAACAATTTTATATCATAAAAGGAGCAGTTATCTGTTAATTATGAAATTTTTATTGTTTAATAAGCTCGTTATTTTATTTCTGAAAGTTTTTTGACTATGTGTTTTTTAGCAGACTATTTTTGATATTGTTTTGTTGTGAAAAATCGCATGTTTTTTCTGATTAAAGAACAAACACGAAATTGAATTTATTGTTGCTTGATCAAAGTATCTTTGTTCATAAGGAGCATGAACAAGATTATGTTCCAATGATTCTGTGGGTTTGATCTCATTTAAATATGGTAACTTTTTTTCGACGAATGATGTTAACCAACGTCGTCTAAGAATAGTAGTTCACAGAAATAGGAACTACTATTTCTGTACGTCGAAATTTTGAGATTATTTCTAATTTAATCAAGAAGTGTAATTCTTTAAAAACATTCTGAATAACTTTTTGAAAAAAGGAAGCAATTGCTATTGATATCAATGCGAAATAATGCGCGATGAATATGACTACGTGAATAATTGATTGATTTTTAAAATAAAAAAATTGAAACAAAACATTTTGGTGATATGACATTAGAACACAGAAATAATCATAAATAAGTGTTGATAAAAATACAAAATCGACGAGAAGATAAAATAATTAACTTAATTTTGATGAAGAGCATTGACACAATGAAATAGTGCAACTAGGATTTTGAAGATGGTGAAAACGAATGTCATACTGTTCAATTATGTAATTGTTCTATTGTAATTCATTGAAATTGTAGGTTTCTTTTTTTTGAAATTCATTTTCCATTTTGAAAGAATATTCGAAATTCTCTTGGAGATAAAACGGAAAGAAAAGATACATTTTTATCGAACTTGGCATATATCTTCTTACAGGTATGAGCGCTCACGAACGCAGTTTTTGAGTTTGTTTTGTTTTATCTTAGATAAAACGATCTTGTTCTGCAAATGTAATAGAAAAATGATTATGAGATTATTATTTTGTTTTTTATTGGAGATGACACTCAAGTAGTAGCTAAAACCTTAATATGAGTTATGTAGATCGTTGATATTAGTTTTTCGACAAATGCTCACGGAGTGAAAAATCTTATTGTAAGCATGTACACAGAAATATGAAAATATTACTTTATCTTTAAATGCCTTCCGGTGGCTACTAAAACTGACAGGTGCTTCAGAATAAATGAACCTCTTAGTATTTTGACTATAAGTTTTTTCCTTCAAATTCTTTTAGCCCTGATTGTTTTCGCAAAAGATGCGTCGTAAAACTCTCTGCAAAACGGAGTATTTGGAGTACCGTGACATTTATTCAATAACAATTTGAATAATGAAAAGTAAAATTCTTCAGTCAACTACACCTTCCATATAGGAGAAATTTGACTATTCGATAAATATTCTTCGCGCATTAAGTGCTCAGTTTGATTGCGATCAAACGTGGGACCGGTTTCGTTGATCATCACACCCAATGTTTGATCGATATCAAACTAAGTGCACCACTTAAAGCGCGAAGAATATTTACCGAATAGTCGATTTTCTCCTGCACGGCGCATCTTTTGCGAAAACAATCAGGGCTAAAAGAATTTGAAGGAAAAAACTTATAGTCAAAATACTAAGAGGTTCATTTGTTCTGAAGCACCCGTTATTTCAGGGTGTAAAGCAAAAGAGTACGGTTTTTCCACCACGGACGGTCTATTTTTCATTTTAGATTTGTTTTACAGCTGTGATGTCGCGTCCAACATTGCGTGATCAAAAAATAGTTGATTTTCAGGTGAAAAAGAACGTCAGATGGTAGTTAGTTAGCCATTAATACTACTTTATTTTTGTCTAGTCATTTACAACAATAAAGAACGTTGAAGAGTGTATCAGAATATTAGACCTCCATCAGTGGAATGTATCGGTATGATGAGAATTCTATAACCACTTTGTCATTGATCACCAATGCTTTATTTCTAATCTCAGGAAGCTGTTCAGTCGGTCTATGAACGAACGGATTTGGCATTATCAGTAACAATTCCAATGACATCAATGCAAATCTCAAATGATGAATCATCAAAAGGTGTCAGGGGTAATTACAGATATATTTCAAGTATATATGAAAGAAATAACTTGAAACCACTTTTAGGTCGTGCGCGTGGCTATAATCGTGCTGAAATTAGGGATAGATTACGAAATATTGTAAGCTTAATTAATCAAAACTAGTTGAAATTTTTTGCATATTGTCTCTTACAGGATGCCTGTGATGAACGTTCAAAATCTGTTGTTAGTCCGGTTAAATCGAATCGTTTATTAGTGCCAACCGTCAGTTCGAAACAACCAAGTTTGAGTAAGTTGAGCAACTTCGTGTTTGTGTGTTCTTCATTTGAAACAATTTTTTTATTTCTCCTGTTTAGTTCCAGATGGTTGTACTAATGAAATGGAAGGTGTAAATTATTTTGTTCGTGCATTTGAAGATCGATATGATACAATCAATTTAATCTGGTACATTGGTACATTGCAAGATGCAGTGAAAAATTTATTAAATGCTCAAGAGGTGAGTGTGCAGAATGTTTCAGTTTTTTAAAAAGATATTTGTAAACTGTTCTATTTTTAGAATCGTCCGCTGATTATCTATGTACATCATGATCGAAGCATCTGTGTAAATATATTTGTCGAACAAGTACTAGGAAATTCTTCAATTATAGAATATTTAAATTCTAATTTTGTCATGTGGCCATGGGATATAACAACTGATTCAAATAAAAAAGAGTACGTCTACATAGTCCAATAAAAATAGCGATAATTGTCAGTCGAATTGATGAGTCTTTTATGAGCCAAGAAAAGCTACTCTACAGTCTTATAAATTCTAATTGATTGTACAGTGTTTTGATGCAGTCGAGAAATGCAAATAAAATAATTTCAAATATATTATTTTTTATTCTCATTTTCTTTAGTTTATTCGATTCTTTATCATCATTGATCGATGTAAATTTAGTAATACAACTTAGTTCAGTTGACTTAGATAGATATCCGTTACTGATTGTTTTATCCAAAGAATATAATGAAATTAAAATGTTAACAATTATCCAAGGACATCTTAATGCTGATGAAGTCTACGATCTTCTCATACAAACACGAGACAAATCCGAAAGTATTTTTAACACCAATCAACAACAACAAATTCAAACACATGTAACAAGAAGAATATTAAATTTTTAATTTTATAATTATATTGATGTATTTTTATTGAATATGTTTAGACGCACTCATTTACATGCGAAGAACTGAAAATTAAACAAGATGATAAGACAATGAAACAAATTCCAAATGGTTAAACGCTCAATCTTCTTGTTTATTCTTACTCAAATCAACTAATACTGTTTTAGATTCAATACAGTCCTCTTCTTCAACTTATATTACTCAAGTTTATGATGTTTGTCAATCTGATGATTCAATAAATGTTCAGCAAATTTTGACTGTTAACAAACGTTAGTATTTATTAAAAGTCAAGTAGCGGCGTATTTAATGCGGACCATATGTGATAATTACGCTTAAACTAAGAAATAATATAGCAGCTATTTTCTTGTTTGAAAAGACTTGTTAATTTCATAGATGGCATTTAATATTAGGCATCTAGCCAATAAGGAGATATCTGTCTCGCACATGTAAGATATTCGTAGACAAATGTATCAAATGTTTGTCTTTCTATTCTCTTGCCTCTCGTTTAACGTGCTGAAGAAAAATTCTTCTTCACGTCAAATGTGTAGCAATGTCCGCTCATAATTTATGTTGTGTGAAGAAAGATATCTCCTTATTTGCTAGATTCCTACTAAATAATAGTTATTAGATAAAATTTTGATCTAATAACTTTTATTCACCAATAGAATAGTCGCGTAGTTCTCATTAACTAATTTTATTCTTTTTTCTGATCCGAATTTAGTCTTACAATATTTGATCATTTTCTTATTTTTAGAATCATCTTCCACATTATTTAGCATGAAATTAAATGGAATAATCTCATCTTTGGACGACGATGATGATGGTTCGACACGAGTAAATGAGTGACTTCACTTAGTGTCTATATGTATCTACCAGATTTTTGTTTTTTCACTTAGACTTCAAATACTGAAGAACCAATGGATTTTAATTCAACAAGTTATTCTTATATTCAAGGATTAAAGTTTAATCAACCATATAAAGGATCAGTTTTATCGGCAAAAAATCCACATTTAGTCACAATACAATTAGCTGATGATTTGGAATATATGCAACGGTTTTTAAAAACATTAGAGTATGTTGTGAGAAAATAAATTTAGTCTACTGTATCAGAATCCTTGACACAAATGGTTTCTTTTTTTTATTCAAATGAGTGTAGGAGATGATTAGTTAAAATGTTTTGCTGTATTTTTTTTTTCATTTAGTGATTATTACAAATGTCGGATAAATGATCCTCGTTTTGAGCTTTCTCATGAATTTATTCGTTTAAATTTATGCTGTGTATGTTATGAAGTGACTGCACAGAAATGGTCTCGTAGTCAAATTTTAAATTTCGATTATAATACATGCGATTTATATTTGGTCGATTCTGGCATCTGGCTCGAGTCTGTGCCACATAATCAATTAAGATATATAACAACACAATATCAGCAAGAACCTGTACGAAACCTAACCTGTCGTCTCGCTGATATAGAACCGATAAATAAAACTCATCAAAACAAATGGTCAAATCAATCAATCGATCAATTTCATTCAATTATCCAAAAATACGGTCAAAAATGTGAATTTGAAATTATTCGACAGTTCAACCGATTCTATTATGCAATTAGTTTAATTTTGACGCCGAAACACTCATCCTGTATTTGTCTAAATGATCATTTAGTATCAACTAAACAAGCAAAACTGAGCGTGAATTATTATGTACGTATAAGAACGTGAACCGACATTTAAACGACTAGTTTTTGAGATTTTCAATTTGACATTTTCTGAGATCAACCAAATCAAATAGATTTTTGCACTTCTGATGGATATCTGACTAAAAATCGAAAATCTATTTTTTGCGAATTCAAAGCGAGAAAATATACTTCGATATGTACTCTATTTAATGACATAAAATTTTTAGTTCCAAGTGCTAAGGATCATGAGAAAACGCACCAACAAAAACTAGGTTACAAAAACACAGGTGTAGGACATAAAGACTATTATTTTTATTTCTAACAAAGCTGTAAATAAAAACGATAAAGATTCTGAACCTTAATTCTATGAGCTGTCTGATAGTGAAGAAATTTGTCAGTTTAGACCTACATCCTCGAAGAAATATAATAAATTTTCAAACCAAGCGGTTTTCCATACAGCTGTGATCAGTATAATGAGGTTTCTTCTACCTTTAAATTGGCATAAAATTTGCACACATGTTCATCGATTTATCCTGCACCGGTGCAAATAGCATAAAACAGCATAAACATTTCTGAATCATACAGTAAGTTTTCCCCCAAAATCCTGTTTTTTCCAGATAAAATCTATTTTCTCACTCCACGAACACTGAAAAAATGAGGTCATATTCAAAATCAACGCGTCGAGTTGTATCAAATCGTGTATAACACAATAGGTTTGGGATCGAATAACTAGCCATTGAAAATTTTTCATAAACCTACAAAACTAGTTTTTCCTGAAAACGTTCAGTGTTTCTCGAAAAGTATCAAAGTTGAATAAATAATTATAATTATTCATGAAAAAATGGTTTACGAGCAAAAATTCTGATGTCCGCCTGCTATTAGAAAAACACTCACTGGTGGAGTGCTCACTGGATAATGAAAGTGGAACGAGAGCAGTTCTAAAAGGTGAAAATCTATAAGGTGAATCTTAGTTTAACAAACTGATGTTATTACAAGAGAATATGTAAAATCACTTGGAACATATTCAACTACAAGTGAAGAAAGTGAATGAGTTTAAAGAAGCTCAAAATATATGTGTATAGTTGTATCAGGAATCGTTCAAATGTCGGTTAATCGTATAACAGACATTAAATGAATCGGGCTGAGATTTAACTCTAAGTTTTTTTCTTTCAAATTTTTTAGTCTGATAATTTATTTGATGAGAATAGTTTATCTGTGCATCCTGTTGTTCACGAATATATTCGACAAGGCGAGTAAGTGGAGATGATTAATATTTTTCATTTTTTTATTTATTTATAGTCTATTACTTGCTTTTTAGCTTAAAATCTGAAAATGAAATTATAGAAGAAATGAATTTGTGTGCATATATTAAAGTGGTTCAAGCAACGTATTTTGATCGATTAATATTTGTTCATTTTAAATCACGTCAAGTCTGGATTCCATGTTTGACTATATCACATATTCTATGTAGATTAAATCAAAATACAATTGAATATTTGGTGAGTAATGTCATTAGTTCGATTGATGTCTCTCTTTTGGATTTTCTTATTTTCTTATTTTTCTCATTTAGGCCATCAAGAATAATTTTGAATATGTTGCAATTTCAGCAATTGAATATCCTAAATTATATGCAAATATTCTTCGAGCACTAAATGAACGACAATCATTAGATGATATTAATGGTCAAATTAATTTATATTCAATTGACTTTGTTATATTTATATTGACGAAATATCGTTATGAAGAATCAATTACATACGAGTTGTTGCATCAAGCTAATAATCCACTAGTATCACATAATAAAACATTCTGGTCACAAAATAATGTAAGTTTAACTTCACACATCGCTAATTTATTTACAACAATTTGTTTTGCACTTCTTTTTATAGAGTTAATCATCAATTGTTCACTAAAAATGGACTGAATGAGTAAGTTAATCTAGGATAAGCAGTGATTTGGACAAAGTTTGCGTGGCTTTCAATGCCCATGAAATAATTTTGATGCTATAAGGAAGGTTAATAGGGGTTAAAATTTGTTTTCCCAGAAAATTGTGTTTCAACGGGTGAAATTTTCAAATGTAACGCGTGAAAACGTTTCTTTTGACTTCCAGCTGGTTAGATCCAGTTAAATATGGTTCTAAGAATTTTAACGAGTTTCCATACATTCAAGTTTAACGAGTTCACACGCATTAATATTTTGTTTATACGCACAAAGAATTTCAACTGAAATAGTTGATTTTAACTGATGTGAACGTGTGCGAGTATCGAATGCGTTCTAATTCTTAATTAAAGTTATAAAATACTTCACTTATACTAAAATCTAACGACTTCAAAAGCGTTAACTGTGCATTTTATTAATCTGTTTCAACGCGTTACATTTTTGTAACTCGTTCCAATACGTTAAACTATCAGATTTAATGGGTTCGAATGCGTGAATTTTTCAAAAAATTGATGGTATGTGGTATAAACGCGTTTAAAAATAAAGAATACATGTACATTTCTCAAAAATTTATTTTAACTCATTAAAACTTGTTGAACTCACCGGAATGCTTAAGCGTTCAAACGCATTCAAATCGTGATTTTCTATTGCATGACTAACTCCTACATAAATACTATGCCTATTCCTACGAGTTATACGATGCATCTATATACATGCACTTAGACATTTTCCTCTTACTATATATAAGTGTACGAGACTAGTTTACCATAATGGTGATGATGAACAGTACCTAGTAGACTATAGCTAGGTATATCCTGGGATCTATCAACAGAACAAAAATCTGACAAAAAAGGAAGAAGGAAAGGAATAGAAACGCCGTTTAATGTGTTAGCATTACATTCTGACCCGAAATGTTATTCTGACGAATGTAAAGGTATTCAGAAAGCTCAATTTTTAACGAGTATGGAAAGGGTTTATCACGCGCTACAAATTTTAACTCGTTAGAATTATCGAATAGGGAACATTTAACGCGGTTGTAACACGTTAGGCCACCTAATACGTTAGAGTTTTAAAATCTTCTTGATTACCGAGTTCGAACGTAGTTTTCATATTTTTTTATAAAAGCGCATCCGGACGCATTATGATTGATTCATAGCCCCATATAAGTTTGAAAAATAACGCATTTGCACGCATTTAACACCATGTAAATAGTGCACACGTGTTAAATTTTTTCTTTGTGTTAACGCGAGTCAAAGTATGAGAATTATTTCATGGGTGGACATTATCATATAATTTTGGATTTTAACAATTGATTATTTTGTAGGATGATTGGTATAGAATATTAGGGTGATTTGTCACTACCATCGACAATGGTATTGTAAAAAAATTTATTCACATTTTTAACGATGACGTGAAGTGTGTGTTCTCAATAAATTAACTAAGCACTAAATTATTAGCTAAACATTGTCATATTAATGCATGTGTCGTGCATAGTATTTTCGGATTTATATAAACTATTTATGTGATTTTTCTTCACTATACATTTGTTATTGCTTTTTGATCGTTTTTTTATAGGTTAACTGGACATAAACGATCGTTAACTAACGTTCTTGAAACTGCCAGTTTATGGTAATGTTAATGAACCGGTATAAATGACCTGAATAATATTGTTAGTGTTTAGTCTTCATATTTAAAGTATCATTTTAGAAAAAAGTTCATGTTCAGCCTTATGCAGTTCAAATATTGGTAGGGAATACTTTCCATATACTATGCCTTTCGGAAAAATATCAGAAAAGGGTAAATAAAAAACACCTAGATATGTGTTTAGTGTGTGTGGTGAAATTTCAGTTCAAACGGAGAAAATTTTGAGACATGCAGGTTCCGCAGAAACATTTGTATCTCTACGGAAAAAGCACTGAGAATAGTTCGAAATCACCTCATTTCGAAGAGAGATGTTCACTCTACAAAATTCTGTAACTGAAGAACAATTTTACTATCAAAAAAATGGCAAAACAATTACAAAAATGAAACAATATTGATTTTTCAGCTTGTAGTGAAAAATTCATATTTGAAGGAAACATCATGAAGGGGTTAATTATAATTCAAAGAAATTACTTATACTTTCATTAGATTGACCGAAAAACAAAAGAATTATCCTGTAATTCACCATGATTTTTACTAGCGATAATTACGTTTGTTCTACAAGGAATTATCTGGATTTTTTGTAATATACGCCGTCACTCACTACCAACTAAACAAAGCCTCACAATTAATCCAAACCATGTGATGTTAACTACAGACGTTCAAGTATGTTCACACCTAACAATGTTATGCCAATGCTTCTTCTATGCACAGTTAATCGATACATTTTAGACTCCTAGAAAGATCGCTTCTCATGTTCACAGAATAAAAGTGTCTAGCTGATACATATGATAGTTCGAGATATATCCTGCTTTTGGAAACTATTGAGTTTTGTTTGATAGGTTTAATCCACTGGTGGCTTTTTCCAATGAACTACTAAAGAATAAACAAAATAGTTTAAAAGTTTACTTTTAAGTGAATCAAGAATGTACTGTGCATAGAAGAAGGATTAGTATAACATTGCACTGTTAGTCATGAACATATTTGAACTTCTTAAGTTAACATCATATATTTTGGGATGCTTGTGAACCTTTATTTAGCTGTTAGTAAGTGTTAGCTTTTGGATTTCGGTGAATAGATTTCGACTTTGTGAGATATCGAACATATTGAAGCTGGTTAAATATACACACAGCACACTTAGAACCGTGAAGGAAACTTATAATCCAATGAGAAAGAGCATGACACAAGTAGTGACCGAATTAGCTTAGTGGTAGAATGAGTAATGAAGAAAAACTTGATTTTTTTAGAAAATCGTCGTTCTTTATATCCTCCAGTGATGACCGCAAAGAAAAATAGGTGTTTGCCTTCTCCATCTGTTACAGAGATAAGATAGATGCAGCTGAGAGATGTGCAACCCGACTCGACCCGAAGGCTGGGTACAGGTACGAAGTTGTCGGATATGGATAGAGCAGTTACGGATACGGATCAGGTACGAATTCCGTTTTTTTTAATTTATCCGAAAATCGGAAGGTTTTAGTGAAAAAATACAAGATTTTAGCTAAAATACATGAAGTTAAAAAAGAGTTACGTGAGAACGTAATGATAATTTGACATCTCCAGCCGAAAAACAAAACTTTTTAGCTGGAAAACGAAAAGGAGAAAATTTTTAGGCATAAGTCGGATACGGGTACGAAAACAGTACCCGTGCACATCTCTAATGCAGCTCGTATGGAGAACAAGTCTCTTAAAATAAGATGAATAGATTCGTCCCGTTGGAGAAAGAAGTAAGATGCATATCATAAGGTGAATCTTTTTTAAGAGTATACATCTTCATAGTCGTCAATATGATGTTGTTCCAGTTAAATTATCAGATTCCTGTAACAAACATTATTTTTCTCATAAGTATCGGAGTAAAAATAGGTGAGTGTTCTGTGTACATTTTTAAAAATACAAAAACAGATGTATATGTTATATATAATCAGAGGGAAGAAGAAAAAAACATATTATTTAAACTAGAACAACACACAAACTGATGATTTGGAATGATGATGATGGTGATGATGATTAAACGATGTTTGATGCTGGGAATTTGTTTCAGACGTAGTGGTAACTATCCCCATTGTTGTCGTATTAGTAGGTAAAGTAACCGCTGAGGATGGTTTTTGATTTTCGATTTTTTGAATGTGTACCCGTAAATCTTCAACATCTTGCCGTATATCATTGATCTGTGATTGAATTACATCGATGTGTTTATTAACTTGAATCAAATGAATATTGGACGTTGCTGTTGTCGAATCGGCTGTTGTATTCGATTCATCAGCTGGCATTTCTTTGATTAATAGTAAACAATTTGCTGGAGTAGAAATAGCTGGAATTATCTTGATAGGTTGTTCAGTACCATCGACAGACGTGTTTGTTGCTGAATTTGACTTAGTTGTTGAAGCAACAGCTGTATTGGTCGGTTTGGAAGTTGTTGATGCTTCATTCATGATTTTGTAACTAATACTGTTCGTGTTTTGGTTAATTGTTTCGTTTATATTTTTTAGTTTTGTTTCACTTAGTTTATTCAATGGCGAAATTGGTGATTTGTTTGTTTGTTCAAGCATCTTTTTCAGATTTTCCTATACAGAAATAATTAAAAATAAGTATTAAATCATCATAACATATCAAAACATGAAATAAACAGAAAATACAGCAAACTATAATGTACTACTATTACATGAAATCTCTGGCAAATAGCAACTCTTTATGAGATTCTATAGAAACTTACTGAACTTTATAGCTTTAGATAATTGTTTTGTTTTTGAATTTGTTAATACTTCATAAAACGTCATATTTTTTTTCCTGTCTATGAAGTTGGTGTAGAACAATTATTACTACTACAGTTTTACATCGATGTGTATAATCGTGACATTTTTACAAAGCTACACAGTGCATTTTTTCTTTAAAACACTAAACCATGCAACTTTTCTGTTATGGTAAAATATGTGCAAAACATTTGACAAAAATTACATTTTTCTAGAAACTAAATTAATTTCTCTATCTAAAGTTACAACAACATAAAATAAATTAAACAAAACTACCTGTGAATTTTCTGACCACAATTGTCCTAAATACATACACAGACACACACAAACTTAATTTTAGAACATGCAAAATAATAAAAATAATTTCAAAATTCGATACAAAATCATAATATTTTGTTTCAAGAAAAAATAAGCAATTAATTGTCTGTTACAGAAAATATGCGTAAAAACTTTCACTTACTTAATTTTTCATGTTCTTGTGCTAATTTTTCCCAATTGGAACGATTTCTTTTACAACCATCAAACAATGGACTCAGACTGGGATCAACATCGGCCAATGTCTACAAAAAAAAAGTATTATAGTTGTTTAACGTTGTTTTTTCCCTTTATAATACCTTGTAAAGTGGTAGACAAATAGAATCAATAAATCCCACTTGCATTTTAGGTAATTCATCTTTTTTGGCACGATCCATCATTGGCTAAAATATGTAAATATTTGAATATAAAATTTTTTCTTAGTCACAATGATTAATTACACGTATATGCTTACAATTGGCTCAACGTGTAATTGAGTACGCTCAATATCTCCTTGTTGAAAAAATTCACTTGCTACTAATTTGGCCACAACTTGTTGAATTTCCCATGGTTTACAGATTGCGGCCACGTCGCATGCTGTCATCATCATACCTCTATAAAAAATTATAAAAAAATATAAAAATTTCTATTTTTATAGATATTATTTTCCCATTACCGTAATAATTCTTTCTTGGCTGGATCTGTCCAATGTTCTTCATTATTTTCAACAAGTTTTTGAAAATCACCTCGTTTTCTTTAAATATAAAAGTTAAAAAAATATATATATAAAAAATATTTAATATTGAAAAAAAATTTTATTTTCTATACTACCTAAAGTAGAGTGCAAGATCTGTAGATAAAATAGCACTTTCAATATATTTGATAACTGTTTTATAATCTTCAGCCGATAATGATTGAAATATATTATTTCCTTCACTATTTACAATCATAATACATTGATCAAAATGATGATGTTCTAATGTTGATGTTGAATATAATTTGGCTAGTGGTGCATCAACTTTTGCTTGAAATGCATTATTTGTCCCTCTATGATCCAAATCATGTGATAAACATGCTACTAATAAACCTAAACGTTCTAAATCGTTCATACATATATTCATTCCACCCGTCTAAAATAAATTAAGAAAAACTATTTTTAATTAATCAAATTGTACAGTAGACTATTGTAAGGTCAGGTTAACCTTAACTAAAAATATATGAAAAAAAACAAAACAAAAAAATGAAAAATTAGAATTTACTGTTAACATTGCAAACATTGTTTGTGCTACATTAAATCCATGTCGCCAATTGTGATATATAACTGGACGATAATTTTTTTTCACACTTAATACCCATCTACAAATGACCTTTAAAAAAATAAAAATTTTTAAAGAATAAAATTAATAATATGATATCTATAAAATAAATATTTTATACATACATCATGTGGAATTTGTAATTTTTTTATTAAATCTAATTCAGTAAACATTCTTACTGATGCTAAAATAGTTTCATCATCTGTTAATACCATATCATTAAAATCCCATGAATAAAGTCGTAATTGATTTGGATCTGGTAATTGAACATGTGCTATTCTTAAAACATCTTCTTCACTTGCAATTACATGATAGCTTAAAACTTCGAATGCCACTTTTTGTTTACATGTTAAACGCATAACATTTTCATACATTTGAGTATTATTTATTCCCAGACCACAAAATATAGAAAATGCCTATAAATAAATAATAGAGGAAAAAAAAAATTATATTCATTTTTTTTTTCTATTATAATTATATAATTTTTAACTATACCTCAATAATAGCAACATCATCATCAGTAAATACTCGTTCATTTATTTTATTCATCATTTGAGCAACACCAATTACTTTTCCATCTTTATCAAATATTGGAACACATAAAATATTTTTTAAAATAAAATTATCATCACCATGAGCTGCCAACTGAATAGAGACAAAATGTTAATTATGAACATATACAAAAAAGAAATAATGTTAAAAATATTAGTCTATTCAATTTACCAAATGTGTGAATGTTGCATCCTTTCCAATATCGCTTAAATTCACTGTTTCCATAGATCTTGCAACATGATAGGCTATTTTAGCGTAACGAGAATTATCAAGAAATTCATTCCTACAATAAAAAAAAAATAATGAACAAAGTTTCTTTTTTTATTTTTAACAATCATAAGAAAAAGTGTATAAGTATCATTCATTATACTTACGTTGTTACTTTAAATTCTTGTTCATATATCATATCAAAGCCTTTTGTAATTCGAACTTCCTTTAAACAGATAGATGATAAATGAAATGAGTTAATTTTTTTTAGAGAGAGAACAGATAAAATATTACCTCTGGTTTTGCTGCTGCTTTTTCTAGTATATATACACAACATCGAGTACATTGTAAAAGACCTTGAGATTCAACAGTTATTTTACGTATCAAATGTTCTAAATCACTTTGTTCACGAAATAAATTACGTGCTAATGTAAGTAATAACTAAAAGAAAAATAATAGAGACATCAAGGAACTATAAAAATATCAATTATAAAATGTGTGCGAATTGATTCATTTATCTCTCTAAATAGTGAAGAAAATAACTTTTTAATATTACTATTTATTAATGATATTCAGTTTTCAAGTAACCACTAAAAAAAAATAAAAAGATGGCGCATATCTTTTATTCTACTCATTTATTATATTTGATATATAAGTCGATAGTAAACTGTAAATTTTTATTTTTATCTATAGAAATATTTACAAGTTTTCTCTTAAATCGTGTTCAATATGCCTTGACTGACCTTAAATCTATACAGTAGAGTTGACGTATGCTCTTGAGATATTTGATCACGATCATCGTGATTAAATTCTGTTTTCGACGAAAAACAAGAAATTTGTCGACAATTTGACATTATCGTTAGTAAAAAAAATGAACAGAATTTTTCTATTGTAAATAATAAATTTAATCGTATATTATAAAAATATAATTACGTAACCACATCATATTGAATGATATTTTTGATTATTGTCGTCCAGTTAGACTTTTCTTGTCATATATGTTGCTGCTGCTGCTACTGTTGATTATTATTTGATTCATTCTTTCTCTCGGTGATGATTGTTTACACAAAAAAAAATGAAATTATATGCATTTTTCTCTTAATTTTATCCACTTCATAAATATGTTAAGATTTTAAAGTTTATTATTATTATTGTCATAATATAAACGAAACAATAGTATGAGTTCTCTCTCTCTCTCTCTCTCTGCCTATATATATATATAGCTATATCTAAAATTGGATCTACTATGTATGTGACCATAAAAAAAAGAACAAAAGCAACTATTTCTTGTTCTTTTAAACGGGTTTCTGTTATTTTCTTATTTTTATTCTCTTCTTCATTTTTTTTTTTTAGTTCTTCGTTTTATTTCGTTTTTAGAGACCAGTTGATTCTACACTCAACTCACTCTTCTACATTTAATAATCAAAAAATAAATGTATTTTTCTTTCTAATCTATGTCACATTTATTGTCAAACATCGTTTACTTACTAGATGATCGTTGTTATTCTTATATCTATTTCTGCTGATGTTTTTTCCCCTTCTCATTGACTACTACCGTCTAATTGTTCCTACCAAACACATACTATTCTAGTCTAAATTATCTTAAAGGTAGACAATAGAAAAGAAAAGAAAAATATCATTTTTTTATTTTTATTTCACATTTTATATGATAGAATTTTTGAAAATAGTTTGGTTTTTGAAAAAAAATCTCGAGATCCTACGATCATGTTATAGACCAAACAGACACATCGACAAAACAGGCTTAGAACGATCTGTTGTCAAAATGTGGACATCATATTTTCTAATAGAGAAAAGGATTATTTCAAAGTAGAAAAAAAAGAAAAAGATTGATGATGATATCAATTGCGTTGTTTGACTACATTTTATGAGAAATCATTTCTTGTGTCCCATATATTCTTTACGAAATGAATTGATATATTTTTTTTAATATACACCAAAATCTTAGGCATAGAGAGTGTTGTTCTTTTTTTGAATTTTAATTTATTATTATTATTATGAATGTCCAGTTATTCATTTACTATGTTTCAAAGAAGAAAAAGAACTGACACTATTTTTATATTTTTCTTCCCTATTCAGGTATCTCGATAGAAGAAAATCGTCTTAATTTATTCATACTCATTAGATTTCTTTCTTTCTATCTCTTTCTCTCTCTCGTTTATAGAGAACTACTTTATTTTGTGATTGATTCAATGATAAGGAAAATTTTAAGATTTTTTATGAATTTGATGTACAACGAGACTATGTTAGAAGCTCAACAATATGTCGAGATATTCATTTCCTTTTCAAAAACTAATTTGATTTTGTTGTAAGCGAACTTGAAAGTTTGAATAAATCTTTTTTTTTTTTGTGTTTTTTTTTTGTTTTTTTTGAAAATCAGAAACATATTTTTCTTTTTCAATTATTATTTAATAACGGAAGTACTATATCATGGTAATGAGATAATTAGAAAAACAAAGTTTAGCATGTTATTGAGATATATTTACTAATAGAATTATTAAATTATGATCACATTTTATCTAAATCATAGTAGAATTTTAATATTATCTAGATGAATAAGCACACAAGATAAAAATGTCATGAAGAATATTGATAGATGTCAGTTGTTGTTGTTGTTTTTTTGAGAGAGAGAAAATAATGTTGTATTTCTAATTTACCTGATTTTTTTTGAATTCTTGAATAGATAATTCAAATAATTGAGCATTTGATAGTCCAATACCACAAAATGTTAAATAATTTCGAAATACCTATAATAAAATTTAAATAGAGATTTAGTTGTACATAAATAATTATTTTAAAAAAATAAATTATATTTACGTTTAAATCTTTGTGTGTAAATTCATGTGTGCCTGTTTTTTTGTTAATTATTTGTGCTACACCAATGACAACATTATCTTTATTCAAAATTGGCATACAACATATGCTATGGGTACGATAACCAGTTTGAATATCAACTTCTTTATTAAATCGAGGATCCTAAAATGGAAAAAAAAACAATCATTATCAAATATTGTCAATGTTAAACATGAGGTTTTTTTTGGACTTTTTCAACTATTGAAAGGGAAACATGATATTAGTCAATTGAATGAAATAAAAACAACATTTATCAATATACATAGAGATATTACACACTATTATAGAGATATTCTAAAGTGAGACAGTCTTGTTAGCAAAGATGACCGAGTCACTTAAAGGATTATCTAGAATTTTTTACCGGTAAAACGTTTCCAGTCAGTTGTAGTAGCGTTCGATTCCGATTTACTTGGGCTACAAACTTAATAAATTGTGCCACCTTCATAGACCCGGTCTAGCTCCTGAAAAGCAACTTACTCGAAAAAAATCATTCAAACGTTTCGAAAAGTTCGAGTCAATTGCTTTTCAAAAGCTAGACCCGGTCTATGAAGGCGATACAATTTATTAATTTTGTAGCCCAAGTAAATCGAAATCGAACGCTAGTACAAGTGACTGGAAACGTTTTACCGGTAAAAAATTTTAGATAATTCTTTAATGATGACTCGCCTATCTCTGGTTGTTAGATTATTAATCAAGTTAGATATTCTGTTGAAAAGTGACAAAGTTGTTTTATTAGCTGTAAGCCAAATTCATTTTTCTTTTTTAATTTTTCCCCGAAGTTCTAGAAATGGTTGTCTATATCACGTATTATTTATTGAGACCAATTATAATAATTAATCGTAAACAATAAACTTTCTTTGATTTCTGTTTTTTTTTCTTTTTTCTTCTTTTGTTGACAAAATAAACGAATATCATTTCAATCATTTCGTTTTGTTATATTCAAATAAATCGTTTGCAGTAGTATATATATTGATAACCAATCGAAAATATGTGTTATAAATAAAAGTAATGCTCTTTCTTAAAAATTATGTCCACTTTTGATAAACGAATAAAATGAAAAATGACATATCTGAAGCGTATGAAAGTATAAACGTCTTATTGAACACAATATTTTCATAGTATAATAAATAAATAAAAAAGAAGCAGTGTAACACTTGATTAAAACGATTTTATTCAAAGTAAAAAAAAAAAAAACGTCAAACTTTTTCTCTTCATCACTTTCGTTCATATGTAAATAGAAAAAAATATTTTATACACAAAATGTGTGTCAGTTAATGGCATGATGACTATTATATTTTTGATGATTATGAATGATTTTGGGGTTCAGAGTAGACGATCGTCTCAGAAACGAATCAACGATCATATATATATATATTTTTTTTTGATGATGGCGATAAGAGGAAAAATTTTCTCTAAATTTTATGATATTCAAATGTTTCATGGTTTCTAGTGGGGAGGGCAAAAACTAAAAATTTTCAAAGATTTTTAGTGAAAAATGTGATGAGACGATTTTTAGTGAGGAACTGGTATTCCTATCTTTTCTCCAGAAATTTACGGCATTGGGCCGCCTGTTAGAAGCAAAGCGATCAGTACATGATGAGCGAAGAAAAATGAATAGAAATTCTTTTTTTCTTTAAGTGTATAAACAGAAACCTTACATAGGTAGAAGAAAAGTTAATATATTAAGTAAATGGATGTTCTTACACATTTATTAAAATAACTAACAAGTTACTTCACTTCTGCAATACGAACATGAAAGAACAACGTAGTGACTATCATTCACCACGTAAACCAGATTATAATTATGATAGTAATTTAAGCGAATATAAATTACATACGCCATACGATAGACAATATGGTGCTCAACAAACCGGTAGACAAGTACAAGTTGTCAAAACAAGTGGATGTTGTAAAAGAGGTGATCAAAAACGAATACCTCCACCATCAACAATTCAACCATCTTATCGTACAACTAATCGAGTAACAAAACGATCAACAAATCAGGTGGGAAATAGTCATCGTGTTACAAATGGTGCTGTTGATAAACATCAAATGACTTCTCATGAGAGAAGTCATAGACGATTAGATCCAAATTATGATGATATACACAGATATTCAAATAATCCAGATTATCAGAATCCGAAAAAGAAACGGGCCCAGGTGATACATAGGGAGAGAGAAGCTCAAATAACATATCAACATAACAATCAAAATTATTATCAACAAGAACAACAAGTGCCCATAGCTCACAAAAAGAATTCCAAATGTTGTTGTACTATCATTTAATTAGTATGATTTATTTGCTGAACGAAACTTCATGGCATATCAAGTCTAATTGATCTTGTTTCACTAAATTACACTGGATCTTCCGTAGCCAATACATGATGACAACATACAGTATCAAGAAACAATGCTCTATTAACACATTGACCGCTACTTACGCCGTAATAAAGAACAAAATAAATAACGAGCGTTACTCGTGGGTTGCGGTCAATGTGTTAAAACTACAAATTGTTTTGACTTTGACATTTTCCCATACATTTTCAGTATATACCAATACGGAATTAGAAAACGCGTGTGAAAGAAATTGTTCAATAAAATCTACTCCATTTTGAGATAAATACGATAGTTTAGTTGAGTTGACACATTCTACGTAATGATTCAAACTTATATAATAATAAGCATAAAGATGATTTTAAAAAGTGTACTGAAATCTTAAAAACACTCATTATTAAGAAAAGTTAGCGACTTACTTCATAGGCATCTGGAATATTGATATATTCTTTGGTTGATGCTACATGACCAGCAATTCCTTTTCCAAATGGTATGATAATTTGTTGATCTTCTGTGTGTAGTGATTGTTCCAATGTGCTACCAGCAGTAACATCAAATAATTTTGATACTAAATATCTTGCATCTGTTGGACCTCGTGCCAGAAATAGACTACCACGATCACTATTTGTTAATATCGATACATTTGTCAATATTTTATGACAGACAACGTCAACATTTAATTCATTGGCTATGTCACGAATCAATTCCGTAAATAATTCATGTTCATTTAGATTCATATAATCAACATTTTGATATAAAATATTAGTTTCACGATTAGAACGATTACCTAAAAATAAAATAAATAAATAAATCTCAATAATTAATACAAATTTTTAGATATAGAAAAATGAACTGTGTTATATTCAAATATAAAATGAGTCTAATACTATTTTTTATCCTAACTAAATTTTATTACTGTTTATATTTTAAAATCTATTTTAATTATTATATCTCATATATACCTTGTAAAATATTATTGAACATTTCATGTGTAATAGATGCTCGTGGTTTTATTAAATATTCTTTTTGTTGTTTAATTCGAATACATTCGTGTATTAAATCATTTGTAGCATTTTCTTTAAACCAACGTTTTACAAAATTTGGTTTACGTAATAAATATCGTGCCACCATATCTTCTGATAATGATTCACTAGTTGTTGTCTTGTACATTCTACGATGCTAAAATATTGTAAAAAAAAAACAAAAAAATAAACGGTATGGTATACACAATGAAAAGTATTGTCATAAGATGTTCTACATTTTTCTTGGTAAAAATTTTTCTCTCTCTATATTCATTTTATTACGTATATATATATTGCCTACAGTTAAGTTTTAATATTATACAAATTAATTGCATCTTGAATAACAGATTCTTTATTCTGAGTAAATTACGTACGTTTAGCATAAAAATGAATACAAAACAAAATCGGAAAAGGACGAATGAAAAACAGGATATGTGACTATTAAATTTATTAACATAAAATTGTCTAGTATATATCTATTGAAATATTTTTTATATAAGAAGTATATGCATATGAAACTCATCTACAATTCTTTTATTTATATATAACATCAATACTTTATAAAAATTAAAAGATCAATACAGTGTAAAAATTATTTATCAAATATTTGATAATAATATTTCAAAGAAAAAAACTTCATTTTTTACTTAATAGATATTAATATCATTTTTATGTAAAATTATAGAGAAGCTGTTCAAAGATTCAGTTTTTTTTTGTGTTTTTTTTTTAATCTAATCATAGTATGATTATTGATAGTATACACACAATAATAATAATCTCTATGATTTATACGACAAAAATAGATATAACCTACTCAATATTTGATAAATGAAATAGTTTATATAAAAGTGAAACAATAATCTCAAAGGAAATAAATAGTGATTATTCAAACATCACTTTTAATCAGAATTATTTTTTTTTATTCATAAAAAAACAAAAAAATGACTATATTTTATTAGATTAAACTGATGCATAAGAGAAAAACATACAAAATATTTCTTTTCTTCTAGAAAGAATAAGAAGAAATCTAATTTTATAATTGATAAAATTTAGTAGAACAGAATTTTATAACATTATTAAAAGGTGAAACATCATCAACTTAAACATGGCATGGCAACGAGAAGATTTATTGTTAAGAAAAGAAGATCCAAAATGACAATAAATTTGATTTGTTTCATAACGCGATTAGGCGCCATCGAAACGGAAAAATCTTCTAAAGAAAGTTTCTCGTTGATATATATATATAAATGAATTTATCAACTATTCTTTTCCTATTTTTTTTTTTTTTGTTTTTTTTTTTTTTTTTAGATATAAAAAAAAAAAAAAAATACTATCACTTGTTTAGCTCGTCGATGAACTTGAAGAAGAAAAAAAACTAGAGAAATTCTAAAACATGGAAAAAACAAAGAAAGAATGAAAAAAGAAGATGTTATTATTAAGTGACTCTCTTGTCTTTTTTAAGCATAAAAATTTTTCTCAATCATAGTTACGTAAAAGGAGAGTGGGAGTTAATTGTACAACGAGATATATTTGAATATTATCAATTATTTGAACTCTGATAAAATAAAACCTACTTTAATCACTATAGTCATCCTCAGGATACAATATTTTATCTCTCAGATATTTATATTCAATGAGAGTACTGTTGTTTATGAATGAAAAACAAAAAAAAAGAATGACTCATTCGGTAGCTACCATTGGCGGTGTACGATGTTGGCCCATCAGACTTGTCAATTTCTATTAGTCTGTCATATTCTCTGAAGTTTACAATCATCAAAGATGATCACCTGTCTCTTTACTATTGTAAAATGCACTAATAGTTAGAAAACTAGTTTAATGCAGAATTATTTTGTCTAATATACCACACCACGTACTAGTAAAACGATAGAAATTATATTATATGTCACACCGTGGTAAACATGTTAGTCGACGAATAATCTGTTTTGTGTAACAGTTAACGGTTACAAGTACTTCGACTACCTTTGAATCACGAGACCAATAATTGTGTACTTTAAATAAGTTAGTCATTTCACATCCTTCTAATTTGTTTTATACAAAAAATTCTTAGCCTTAGACAAGAAATAGTCGTATTTTGAACAAGACAGTGGAGTTTAACACGCACATCATATTCTTATAAAGAGTTTCTCAGTATTTTCTATTGCATTTTTTGAATAAGAAACTGGTTCTTTATATATTACTGAGAACGATATTTGGCCAATTATTAAAGTCTGACAGTAATTGGCTAAATAAGTATATGTCTAAACAACTCCCGTTTGAATTTATCCAACAAAGTCTAACTTAATTAGGAAATATTCATAAAGAATTCAGAAAATCATTTAGAATTTTAGAATTGACTGATATTTGAAAGTAAATGTTTATCATTGATCGAACATTTACCAGCAATTATCAATTACAGTTATCTATTCTCAATATAAATATATTCACTGACATAGGAGAATTATTACGTGTACAAAAATGAACTTTGATAATTAAAATCATTTATTGAAAATATCATGGGATTATACTGTTATCTCAATGATTCGGATAACTAGTGTGTTTGACTCTCCGTTGAGGCATATATTCTTTCTTACAATGTTTGTTTATCAAAGTCAAATATTATAGCTTTTCTAAATGGATAACGCTTTATCTTCTCAGAAGTAGTAGAATAAAAATGTTTACTGTGTCAAATATCAACAATAAACTAGCACAAATCATCAATAGGACAAAATAGAGAGTAAGAAGCTTTCATCTGAGAAAGTGTTCGATAAGTAACTTCCGTTGTAAAGAATATTTTCAAATATAAAAAAACAAAAAAAAAAAAAAATGCGTCATGAGACGAAAAATAATTACATTTATCGAAATTCTATAATGTGTAATGTATTCTTTTCATCTAAACAGATAGTTCGAGATTCTATATTTCAGTTAGTAGAGAAAGAAAGCGGCAAATTATCATGAATTTACTATTCTTAATAACACAAACCCTTTGCGTTGTTTTTCTTTGAAAATTTGATCATGCAACCAGAACCATCATAATTTCTCTTTCTTCCAGATATATTTGATTTCTGATACGAAAAAAAAGAGTTTTTTTTTTCACGTTATCTATAGAATAAAAAGATTCTAAAAATTTTATCATCTTTCTTTTTGGAGTCACGTAATGATCATGCACGCAACTGATAATTAAGTGAGAAACACTTCCAACTTTCACCTTTTCAGATTAACTTTTGTCACCTTATAGATATAAAATATAAAAATAAGATGTATTCGCATAGTATAACTATTTTAACACCATATAAAGTGAACTGTATATTATTTTTTAATACAAATCTAATTTCATATTCGTGCGCATCAGCAATAATATATTATTAAGACATAATTTGTAAGATATATGTCAAAACTGCATGTTTGAAAAATATTTAAAATTTTCTAAAATTTAATTATTCTGTTTTTTTTTTATCTGTTATTATTCTCTATATTTTTAAGAAAGAAACATGAAAATGAATTTCTCGCGACCAAGAAAAAGAAATAATCTAATAGATAAACATGCGAAAAAAGAAAATGTATGCCTCGATTGGAAATCGAATCAAAGACCCTCTGATAACATGACAAGAAGCTCATCATTATTCAATTGTTAACAAAACAGGAAATAGTGTTTATGATTGATCAATATGAACAAAATGACATGTTTAACTAGGACGGATGGATAAAATGAGTGAAGTTAGATTTTAGAAAATTCTTTCACCCATAAATGATGTTGATCTCATTAAAAGAAAATAATTTTATTTTAGAATTAGAAAAATATTGGAGAAAAAAGGTCATGGACGATATATCGATGAAAAAGTCAACTATTTCGATCAACGATCATATTCAACGTGTACTACAGTCAATGTCATAGATCACCTAATTCTATGTAATAGATTACACTCTTCCGTTAATCTAATCCTTTTGAAAAATCTATTTTATTTGTACTTTTTGTTGTATCTCTAGGCTGTCAAAAACGGGTGTAATTAATTGTCTATCAAATATCTGTTAAACTGATTTATTAAAACTTTATTAAATATTAATTTTTCAATCAAATATAATCGTTTTTAATTATTTATTGATATTTTAACGAGAAACATTTTTAAAATGCCTAAAAATGGCAGTTTTTAACAACTGTAGAACGATTTGAAACAGACATTTAATAGTGATCGTTTGACGATCAGTTTTGTACCATAGATGATCCGTATTCTAAACGTGTCTATAGCTAATTTCTTTTCATAGTACTACAACAAATACATTAATTATACGACTTTTCAGTATTTCTGCTTTAATTGAACCATGATTTCATTCTCAATACTAGCCCTAGAAGCAACAGACACTTCCTTCGATGATTCTTATAGGTGAGAGAGAGAAAAATTCTACGTTTTGAATCAAAAAACAGTATAATATACGTAGTAGACAAGATAGTAAAACAAAAGAATGACCTGAACGTCTATTTTGAATAGTCTACTCTTACTTATCAGAATTAGTTGATACTAACCATATCATCTGCTGAAGAAAGATTTGTGTCAATACACAGAGTAAATAGTTAAATGAGCGCATAATTATTCAATACATTCATACCATTTACTCGCCTTTATGAATTTGTTCATTTCTTCGATCTATTCACGAATTCCAGGTAGGTGACCCTGTACATGTCCTGAAAAGGAAATCAGAACCAGTTTCCCTTAGCAGACATCTTTCCACCTTTGACACTAACAATTTTTTTTTATAACAGAACACACACATCTCAACAAATTTTCTGATGATCAAACTTTCTATCCTATTGTCTGTACTGAAAAACAGAATACTGTGATCTTAACATATTCTTTTTTTTCTTCCCATGTTCTGGCAGTGTTATTTTACGTTGACATCTATAGTATTCAGAGACTATCTTTGGACAGATTACAATGTCGATAAATTATAACGAATTTATTATCTAGCTGTTAGTTCCTTTAGGCCCCACTTGACTGCTGATTAAATAAATATTTTACGAGATCTTATTCTTTTTAAAAAAATTTTATAATATAATATCCATAAACCCTAGATGTCAGCTCATCGAAACGCAAAAGATGTTCAATTAAAAAGTTATCATGTCGTTATCAGGGAGACGTTTATTAGAAATGAACGCTACATAATGAAAAATTTTACCATTTATTAATAGACATAATAAACAAGACAAAAGTACTGTATAATTATAGAAACAAGATCTTGGTAGATTGGTCCCTGTCTCACGAATTCAAGTAGTACTTTAGTTTAGGAGTGATTGATCAAATTGTATTGAGTAGGATTCTAATAAAGAATAGTATTTTTGAGAAATGTATAAAATTGAACAAGAAAACTTTTCATTTTATTATTAGATATAGAAGAAATTAACGTACTATTAGTAGAACTACGAACGAAATTTTTTTTCTCGTATTATTAAGCATTTTTTTTTACATCACTGTTTTGATGGTATTCTTAATCTACACTATGGGAAACCAATATCTATAAAAAATATAGCAGTAACATTCTTTTAAATTTAAATGGATCAGCGCTTCAAATTAATTTACATAATACTAGAACATTACTTCATATTTAACCTACTATATGGAATTCCTTTAACACAATAGAAACTCAAAAAAGCATTTATATAGCAGTGTAGTGATTCATTGTGTTATGAATCACTCACATAGACTCCTGTTTGATGCTTCTCAGTCTACCTTCATTTAATTATCTATTGTGCGCGTATCAGTCATAAGATAAAAGAGTTTTAAAACTAGATGCCAACCACCCTACGGGCAGATTGGAAACTCGACCGAGTGAAACGTATCTTAGAAACACGTTGGCCGCCGTTTAAATCCTTTAAATACAATTAGAGCACTGGCAGTGCTTTAGTAGTAAACATATGATGCATTCTGCACCAAACTATACAGAAGTATAGACTCATAAGTAGCACGTGACTACTTAGTGAATCACTCTTCACTATTCATACTGAATGTATATGAAGTATCACGTGAGAATTAATTATCTCATAGAAAAGTTATTGAAAATATGCTTAACTTTTGGGACTCATTACTTAATAATTAAAACAGACATCGAAAACATAACTTGAGCTGTTTCATCTACCCCTCTTGCACTCTCGAATGATCTTTTTTCCAAGTCTGTACGATTAGTGATAGCTGAGAACGAGTGGCTGAATCGAAGCAGATAGTAGAGTGTGGAAGAAAGAAATTTTTTTTATAGCGAAACAATAAGCCGCTCCGAGTTTCACTCGGCCAGCTTAAATAAGGAAAAAGTCGACTGTTTCCAAAATTTTCTTAACAATTACAGATCAGTTAAATTTTTATCTACTGAAAGGACACATCTACACAATATATTGAACATAAAGGGTGAACAAACCACATTGATCGGATGAACTGCTGATAGAGAAGTATGCGTTCCAAACTTTATCTTGGTGGGTTTTTCAAAGATCGGATATACTAAAAGTTTAACCTCGGTTCGGGTAAAAAGGTTATTTTTTAATGATTACATTATCAAAATAAAAATTCAATATGGCAAAAAAAGTTTCAGCTTGTCAGAAATAGAAATGTTA